GTCCTTAGAGATGCCAGATCACCCTTGGCACCTTCACAGACCCTGTTCTCTGACCATTCCCTAGAGAGCAGGGTGAGGTGCACTTGAGAGGTGGCTCTGTCCTCTACCCCAGTACCATGGTCCACGGTGATGACCTTTATCCCAGCTCTGATAAAAGGCTATTTTAGGTTTTCTAAAATGCAAGTCCTTACCTAGCCCAGAAGGGAATGTTTCCATTTCACTGCTCCCCCCCCCATTTTCCTCTTGTGTGATTCTTTCCAGCTGCTGTTCCTTCACAAATGTCAAGTTTGTTTCTCCTGTGTCACCTTGAGGCAACTGACATTCGTGACTAATTATTAAAAAGGGCAGCCTTTTAGTTTATTTTGATGAAAACAAAGTCTCAGAGAACTCTGTTAGATGCATTCTTATTTGAGCAGGTGACACGCTGATGTTTGGGATTTGGGAAATAGATCCTGCAAAAGTGGAGTTTTTAGCATGATAGTTGGAGGAGTCAGAAGGTCCAAGGTGAGCTTCATGAACTTACTACTGACGCCCTGTGTATTCTCTGAACTAATTCCAGGGCTTTAAACTTAATACCAAACAGCCAGGCCAGGTGGTCACAGGGCTTACAGAAGGGTCATCTTGGAGCAAAGAACCATACAATGAACTCTTATCCAGCTAACGTTTTTTTTTTTTTTTTTTTCTCTCCCCTGTAAAATCAAATTAAATCAGCCTCAGTTTGGGGGATGTGGAAATGGTGGGAGGGTTTGATTAGAGTCTTGGCTCTTTAGTAGTGCCAGTGGTTTGTGGGAGCAGTCTGGCTATGAAGAATGCATAAAATATAACTCTACAATTTAAACTTATTTCATAATAAGGCTTTTTGAGGCACATACCATTGCAAGCCATTTTTCATCCTTCATCATGAAACCTTCATTCATTGGCATATTATATAGGGTCAGTGCAAATACTGTGTTGAAAACATGTGGATCATGGTACATTCCTAGAATTGTAAAAGAGACCAATAAAAGATGGTATGTACTAACATGAAGAGAGCTCCAAGATACACACTACTGGGTAAAGACAGCAAATAGCAAAGTGAAGAATAGAGTTGCTGCCAAAAAGGGGCAGCAAACCAGTGCAGTCTTTGGATTTCCAGTGCAGAGGAAAATCTTACCTCAGTTCATGGCGCATAGTTATCAGTGGTCTGGGCAGGACCTTTTTTCAGCATTATCCTGGGTAACATCATTTCCTGACTTTCTTTTATCCTTATTCCCCTTACTCATTCCTTTCCTCTGTAGTCAGCCTTTTGAATATTTATCTATATCCTTTAATTTGTATATATTCGTGTAAAACATGTTACTGTTTTACATGCTGCTTTTTCTGAAGTGAAATCCACATAGCATAAAATGATCCCTTTAAGATGAACAATTCAGTGGCATTTAGTGCATTCACAATGTTTAGCCACCACCTCTGTCTGATTCCAAAACATTTCCACTGTTCCCTGTGCCGTGAAAGTTACTCTCCATTTTCCCTTCTCCCAGTCCCTGGCAACCACCTGTTTCTAAGATTTTCCTATTCTGTATATACGTCATATTCTGGATATATGTCCTATCCAGAATACAAATGGAATTAAACAGTATGTGATTGACCTATTCTGGATATACTATCCGGAATATAAATGGAATTAAACAATATGTGATCTTTCGCCTGCCTGTGTGTGTTTTCAAATCACTCCTTATTGAGGTCTAATTTATGTAGCTAAAATGTACCCACTTTTTAGTGGACCTTGTGTGGTATTTGTTGTTGTTATTTTTGACATCTTTCACATGGCTTATAGCAACCCCATGAGACAGTCACCATCATCACCTTGTTCTGCAGATGAGGCTTGAGACTCAGGGACGCTGAGTGCTTGCCTGGGATTGAGTAGCAGGGTAAGATGTGGAGGTGGGCACACTGGTTCTAGAGTCCATGCTGCTCCACCACTGTTGTCCACCGGCCTCTCAGGTCTCGCATGGGAGATTTCAGAGCCTGCTTTTTTCCATACAAAATTACACTGTTTATCAGGTTGACAAAAAATGGCTGCAGAATATCCTACTATTTTATATACCACAATTGAAGGATTGTTGATGAATTTTTAGGATGTTTCTAATCTTTGTTATTCATAAACCATATTGAAAGGACCATTAGGGATCAAAGAAAATTCTAAAGTCCTATATATTCATTATAGAAATACAGGCAAGCAAGGAAAATAAGCTAAAAACATATAAACATTCCCCTCAGAGTTAACCGCTCTATGCAGTTTTTTAACATAGCGTTCCAGTTTGTGTTATACTTCTTATTTATTTATTTTAGATAGGGCCTCGCTGCGTACCCAGGCCAGGCTGGAGTGCAGTGGTATGATCTTGGCTTACTGCAACCCCACTTCCTGGGCTCAGGTGATCCTCCCTGCTCAGCCTCCCGAGTAGCTGGGACTACAGGTATACATCACCATGCCCGCCTAATTTTTGTGTTTTTGTAGAGACAGTGTTTCACCATCTTGCCCAGGCTGGTCCTCTCTCTTTATATACATACATACATATATATATATGTATGTATGTATATAAAGAGAGAGGACCAGCCTGGGCAAGATGGTGAAACACTGTCTCTACAAAAACACAAGCCCGTTTAGGAGATAGAGATAGATGCTACTTGTATCCCCATTTACAGATGAGAAAACCAAGGCTCAGAAAAACCTACACAGAATCATCTATCAGTAAATGACAGGACAGGGATCCAACAAGCCTGGCTTAGAGTGGGCTCTAAGCTCTAGGCACTCTGCTTAAGGCTCTGGAAGCATTCATTTCAGGCTTTTG